CCCCCCCCAAGACGGAATCCGTTTTGGCAGCAGTGACTCGCTATTCTTGCACTTTTTTTAACCAACTGTCATCAAGTTGTCAGCGACAGAGAAGCCTTAATGTGAAACGTTTGTACGTCGAGGTTTTCAGACTGCCAATATGACGAAGAAGAAGAGGTCATTATACACACACGTATCAGTCTGCCTTATTTTACCAGCAACACTTTATTATGGTTTATTAGGTACTAACAAAATAGTAATAGTCAGTAGTTCATTTGGACATGAGAAACTACCGTCCTCATCCGTTTCATTCATATCCCCTCTGGTACTCATGAGTCCTCATAAATAAAGTAGATATTTAAGTATTTATCATCAGGATCAATGTTATGTTTCATAAATGTGTTTTCATGACCATTGATGCAATATGTGTATGTATATACATATATATATTTGTTTGTTTTTCTGAAGCATTAATGTAAAACCCCCATAATGATTTTTCCCCCTCATTCTGGATAAGTGTTGATCATTTTCAGGGGACCAGTGTGAGCTGCACAGGTGCTGGAAGAAGAGCCTGTCTGAGGAATCAGAGGAGAGACTTTGTGCATTTACCAATGTTTACCTTCTATTGTTCTGGTATGAAAATTTCAAAAATAAAATGTTTAAAAATTTAAAAGCCCTAATTTGCCGTAAGTCTTTTACTTGTCCTTTAAGTTTGAGAAATGAGTTTGTCTTCTATCCATCTTGAATAATGTCGGCGTTTCTTTTGCTGTCACTGGAACGTCATCACACTCTCACACACTTACTAAATTTTAGAGTGACCAATTAACCAAACATGTCTGGATGTTGTACATCTGTGTGCAATTTCAACCATTTGAAGTGGGAATAATGTCTGAATTTATTGTATTTTCAAATATTTTACAAGAAGCTTTGACAGGGAGTTTCACCAGTTGTAATTGTAAAGTTATATATATATAAAAAAATAATAAAATGTTGAATAACTTAAAAACTACTGCTCACATTTCCATTCACTGAGGTTGAACTAAATTTCAGTTTCTACTTATGCACACCTGGTAGACATACCTCAAATGACCAAATAAAAAGTGGTTCTAGTATTGACATAAGGCTTGAATAAAACTATATTTTTACATGCAAGACTGTTGTTAAAACCATGTATTACTATTATTCCACTTGATAAATATGCATTACGTGTCTAAATGACAAAACATTATTGAAAAGTTAATTTTTTTTGTTGTTAGGAAAGAATTGGAAAAAGTAAATGCGTATTTTTTATTTTATTTCATTGTTTGTTTTTTACTGTGTTTATCAAATACAATAATTTTTTTAGGTGACTCTTTTGGCCAAATGATCCGAATCTTCAAAACGAATCAAAATTCCCATCTCTAAATTCAGTTTCAGAAATGCATTTTACGGCTCAAAATAGTAAACATTATCATCCGGGTGCGCAGGCTCGGTCATAAATAGGCACGTGACTTCTGCTTGTCCTGGGTTGTCATGACAACTGCCTGACGGCGCTATTCAGGGAAGTTTCCAAAAACAAAGGTAAAACTCATATAAAGACTTTATTTATATCATGACAAACAGCTTCAAGCGTAGTCATGCTATTATCACCGACCTAACCGTTCCTATGATGTTCGAAGTCTATCAAGTTGTCCAGTTTGATTTTCTTGAGCGTCAAAAGTAAATTAGCTTAATATGCGGTGTGTGTACACCTATAACTCAAGAATAATTATTTTTATTATGTACTGAATGCTTAGGATACAGCAGAAATGCTAGGAGCTGGCAAAGAGTACGCCAAACCAGAGCCTGTACAGGTCCCTTTTCTAGAACTGACCGATGTGGCGCAGGTAGAGTACAGTATGAATCAATATTATTGATTAAGATTGAAACTTATAAGCTGCAGCAAATCAAGTAAGGATGTCATTTGTTACATTTGTTCTAATGTCTGTATTAAAGACGCATTAAAAGCTCATAAATAGGGCATGCTTTCTATTCTGTTATACAAAGTTAAGCAAGCTTTTCAATACTTTCCAATTGTGCCTTTTGCATCAGCTTCCAGAGAACACCAACTGTCTGACATGCACAGCAGACGGCAGATTTCTAGGCTTGGCTCACACCCAGGGCCTCTCTGTGTGGTGTGCTTCCTCTTTCACCCTGGTTGCAGAATGGCTTCAACCACAGCTGGAATTGATCTTCATCCAGATGACCAGAATAGCTGAGACGACCTCTCTGCTTGGGACCGTGGATGACATGGGTAGAGTGCCACTGACCTGCCACTAATCTAATGCTAAAAATGTCCATTCCTCCTTATCAGTTGTGGTACCATGCAAAAAAGTATCCACACTTCTTAGTATTTTTCTATTTTCTGGCATTGCTGACACATATTTCAAAGTAATGCAATAAACAAACAGAAAGTACGCAATTCCAAAAGTGGAAAGTTAACAGAACCTGGGTTTTTAATGTCTTTTGCAGATAAGAGAGTTTGTATCTGTGTTTATTTCCCATAAATAAAATCCCTTAAAATGCCTTACATGGGTCTGTTTATAAAATGCATTGAAGTTTTTTGTTGTGGTATGACAAAATATGAAAAAACAACTATAATTTCATTAGACATTGTAGCAGAGCGTTTTCGTCTAATATATTCCTTAAAGACAGCACATGTACTGAGAGTTTCATAAGAATCTTAAAGTTTTCTTTGTTTTCTTTTGTATCATCTGGAAGTCAATATCTATGTGTTTAATTTCCAGGTGTTGCCAGAGTGTTTGGGTTTCACTCGGACACTGTTCATCTTCTCAGTGTTATCAACGCAGTGGTGGGTATATTGCTTCCAGCTAGCTATTATTTTGTTGTTTGCTAGCTTCTTTTAGGACATAGTTCTTTTATACTACTTAAGCAAAACCAAGTTAATAAGAACAAATCATTTTTCAGGAAGATGTCACTGTAAGAAGCATTTTTCTGACGTTTGACCTACATGAAGGGGGGCATTACGGAGCTGCATCAGTAAGCTGTAAGTAACTTCTTTCATAGCACAAACACGTATGATTAGACCTTTACATTAAACTGCTGATTTCATTCATCTTTGCAGGCAATGGCGTATTGTGGCTAGAGGTCTATCAGTTTCCTGTAGAGCAATGGCTGAAAGAGCTAGAGACGGTGTCATCACAAAACAAGGTAAAGACCAGTGATCTGTTCTGACCTTGGCTATGTTAGGTAGATTGCAAACTCTTTATACATGGTGCATATGTAATTCTTCTTTGTCGTGAGAAAAGCAACTATTAAGCTTCTTAAAAAGTCTAATCTGGATACCTCAATATCTAACCAACGCTCTTCTGACACTTTATCAATAGATTTACTCCGTATGTACAAGAAACAGAAGAGGTTCTTCAGTTCTTATTGATCACTGAGACAGCATTGGTGAAACATTTAAACAATATGTCTTAATCAACAGTGATTAACTTCTGCATTGGTTTTAGTGGTTGTGTTGTGGTATGACAAAATATGAAAAAATAACTATAATTTTATTAGACATTGTAGCAGAGCGTTTTCGTCAAATTAATATATTCCTTAAAGACAGCACATGTACTGAGAACCTCTGTGGTACGAGGTTCCACAGAGCTCTATTGTCAAGATGCTTTCATCCACCGATCTCCTCCTGGCCTAAGCTGAGCAGCATTGCGAAATCTCTCACCATTTCTATGCAGATGATACACAACTTAATATTTCTGTCATGGTCACGGTTCCTTAATGAGTGTGTGGGTCAGAATTTACTCCAGGTTAAGAGGCAAACATCATTCCAGATTAGCCTAAGGTCTATAAAGCATCCAAGAAACATAGGTGTAGGACCTTTATTTGAACATCCTCCATTTTTTGTTACTAAATCAGCCTTCTACTGTTTTAGAGACATTGGTAGAATGGGCGCCACGGGACTTATTATCGGTAAAAGAAGTCACACTTTTCAGACACTTTATCAAATCCTCAGGATGAAAATGTAACTAAAGGATCGGGCATGAAATGGTCTCCTTTTACACTGATGATGAAAATCTCTCCACCTACACTTCCAACAGGTAAAAAAAATATATATATTGTAAATGTTTTTACTCATTAGAACTTTGATCCACATCTGTTCTTTCAGACTTACGTGACTAATTCGTATATATAAGCACATCTTACAAGTTCTTTGCTGATTTGCAGGAAAGCCATTGGACTTTTTGACACACTGTTTGACTGTCGATATAATCAGGAGCAGCGGTCTTCACAAGGAACAATCCTCCTTCAGTTCAGACGCTGCAACAACAAAGAACACACATGAAAGCCCGAGGTGCGCATAGATTGACACTAATGCGATTAGAATCAGACTGCTTCTCTCTTTTGTAAGGCTGGTTTAAATTTAAAACATATTAAACACATTTTAAAGGCTGCAGCACACAAGCAGCTTTTTTATGCTTTTGTGTCATTTTCATTGGGCCGAAAGCCTCTAGACTCTAACAATCGTCTTGTTCTGCATTGTCTCTTCCACCAGTTGCACTCAGCACTTTCTCCTGCCTTGCGATGGGCCAACTGGTGACAGTAAAGCAAACCCAGGTTTGGAATTCAAAGGGCGCTTTGTTGCATTCTGTAATAGCTGAATACTGTGATTTATACAAAACAGAGACATTCACATGCACTCATCGTTTTGTGCATGTCATCTCATATCTGTTCATTATTAATCATTAACGTCGATGTTGGCCGTTGTTAGTGAATTTTGAACACATTGTTATTGTTCTGATAAGTAAAATTGGGCTAATATTAATAACCAATTTAATAATGATATCAGATATTCGATTTTAGAATATCTGATATTCTAAATATATCAAGTATCTGCTATTTAGTTTTTCTAAACTAAATATAAAATAATTAATGTAAGGTCAAATATCTACAAAAACACTCTGAATAAAATCTTCCAATGCAAGTAGCAAAGCAGCCAAGAAAAATAGGTACAGAACCTGTATTTGAACATCCTCCAGTTTTTGTTTTTTGTTGCTATATCAAGCTGCTATTATTTTAGAATATTTGAACATTTGACTGCGCTCTCTAAATTTATTTAAATTAGTTGGTTTATTAATGTGAACCAAGCTTCTAAGAAAAGTGTCAACCTTTTTGGATAGGGTTGACGCTGAAGCAACCTCTTTCACCGATGCTAGTTAGCATCCATGCTAACTAGCATGTCAGTTCTTTGCAACGTGCTAAGAAACATTTACCTTCAATTTAGTTGATGTGCATGTATGTATGATTTTAGACCTTTTTATTTTTATTCTATCCTGAAAAAAAAATCAAATCTATTAACAACCCCCCCCCCCCAAAAAAAAAAAAATATCATGAATGCATCTGTTATTAAAACACCAAATTGAAGCGAACATATCGTTTTTCTCAGCAGGACTCCCTGTGGCTGTCGCTGTGTGGTGGAGTGGATCCACTAGTCTCCTTCAGTATTTACTGCAAAAAACCCCAAAGAACAAATCAGGAAGAGCATCTAATTATTTATTTATTTAAAATATTAAGAATCTGTACACCTTGTTGTAACAAACACTTGTTTTTTGTTTGTTTATTTTTGCAGCAGATGTGGCACCCGTGCCAGAAATGCTGTGGCCAAATGCAAAGGAAATCCTCTGCTCGGCTGTCAGCAGATGTACTTGCTTAATCGCTCTCGGGCTTGAGGATGCTACTGTGTACATCTGGAACAGACAATCTGGTGAGCAAACCTTACAGAGAATCTCTATTTATTCACCTGGCAGACTGGAGAAAATTATGTTGTTGGGTTTTTGAAGTTGTCACAATGGCACATTCATGGACATCCAGTCATCTTTAGCTTTAGAGCTAAACTCAGACATCTGTCGTTTTATTGACACATGACAAACTTCTGTTAGTTTAATGCGGCATTATTTAAGCATTATTTTTGAATTTCAGAAAAGCATTTGATGCTGTCAGTCATCGAATTTTGGTATAAAGGTTGTTTAGTTTTTACGACAGAAAATTAGAGCCATGCTAAGACAAAATAAAAATAAGAAAATAGCGAAAATAAAGTCATAAAATTGCAAGACTAAAGTCATAATATTGGGGGAATAAATCATGTGAGTACATAGCTATAAAGTCATAATGTTATGACTTTATTCTTGTAATATGACTTTATTCCCTTTCAAGTTTATTCTCATAATATTATGACTGTATTCTCATCATTTTATGACTTCATCCTCTTAATTTTAATTATTTTTTATTTTGTAGTTCGGTCCTGGGATTCCACCATAAGTTTTAATCAACTTACTTACTTGATTGCCTTTACAGTTAAACAAAACCTAACCCTGTAACCCTAACCCTACCCTGGTTAATATTTTCTGAATGACTCAAGAAGTTTTGCTTCTTGGTCTGATGATTCACATTTTGTTATATATGTTTACTTAAGACATAAACATAAGCATGTTTATGTCTTAAGTAAGGATTGGGGACTGTAGTTAGTAAAATATTTAATTCTTACTTTGTCTTGTCTTCCCATTAGGATCCCCGGTCTCCGTTGTTCTGGTACCAGGAGACACCATCGCCTTCTCCAGGATACAGTTTGTTGATAACTGGTCTGTTCCTGCTCAGGACTGTGATATCATCGGTACAGAACTGGTCGGTATGCTGGTGTCGTGTAAAAATGGAGCAGTTTACATGGTGACTGCTGGACTAGGCATGCGGTCCAGCACCGTCCAGCTCTTCGAAAGGTTACCTAAATTTTACGGATTTAACACTTTCCTACCGAAACAAAATAAATATGATGTGTTGACACATTTATTTTCTATTTAATATCACAGACCAAAAGACAGCAGGGATCTCCCGACTGTTGCTATACCTGTGCCTTTCCTGCAGGCTGTGGTAGGAACACATAATCTGTTGGATGACAAAAATGCACCGTTTTTCAACCAGTATTATTCTGGACTGCTGTATCTATGTACTGCTTCTATTTTCTAGTCACTTATCATGCAAAGAAGTGGGAAAATGTTCCTGACAGAAGCCATCAACAGAGAAATTGTGTGCTACCTGACTCTTCCGACATCCCACCAAACCGTTTCACTCTACAATCCCATTTACACACTAAACGCCGAACGGCGAGCGCTGTTCATACGAGGTGATTATTACAACCTTGCGTTTTGCCTAAAAATCATTCCCACAGCTGAAGGCTTTCATTTGTCTGCCAGGTGACCAGGAAACCAGTGATCGGTTGGACAGCCTAAACCAGAGTCAGCTCTTTGTCTTCTATTTCAGTCAGTCTGACATCATTAAGCCTCACATCGATTGTCCCAGACAGCCAGCAGTACTTCACCATGGTACCCTGGAGGAAATATGCAACATCTATCTTGAGCAAAGGTTAGGTCTCCAGACGGTGGCTGATTTGTCAATCACCACCGTTGATCTAAATGGAGTCATTTTCAGTTTGGGACTTGACCACATTTCACATCATCGCTGCTTGGTAATTGTGGTTCACTCTGTCTATATTTTGGAGTGTCTTCTTAAGATTGACACTCTTGTTTTTGGACTAGGCCACTCCTAAGGATTCATGCTTGCTGGTGTGGTTTGAATATTTGTCCTACTGCATAACCAAAGTGGGTTTGAGCTTCACTTGACGGCTGGACGTTTTTCATTCAGGATTTTCTGGTTGAAAGCAGAACTCCTGCTTCCATGAATTTATGGCAGATGTAATGGAGTGAACACCTTCAAAAAAAAAAAAAAAAAGTTTGTTTGTCTCCACAGAATGTTTTCTCAAAAGTCATCTAGATGTTCTTGGCAAACATGAGAGGGACCTTTGGGTTGTTTTTTTGTGGTTTTCACTTTGGGACTCTCCTCTGTGTGGCGTTTCTGCCCAGTCTCTCTTTCTTATTACTGAATCATCATAAATGCTGACTTTCATGCGGAAAGTGAGGCTTGCAAGCTGTCTGGCCTTATGAGTGAGACGTCGATGTACTTGCAGAGTAATTTTGGTCTGAAGGTTCACCCCTGCTCTCTGGTTTCTTTGTGGATCATGACTTTCCGTGTGATTTGATGGAATCCCAAAGCCTTAAAAACAACTTTATAAACCTCAACAAAGTCGTGCGTAGACTTTGTTTCTCGTCTGCTCTTGATTTCTTTTTCACAGTGGGGAAAGATGTGCCGATTCTCTTTAGATCTTTTAGCCTACTTCATGTTGATAGGGGCTATTTAAGTCACTTTGAACAGGTCAATTTAACAAGGGGGTGATTTCTTCACATAGAGTCAAGTTGGTTTGAATACATTTTAGCAAAGAAAAAAAAAGTGTTGGTCTAGTTTATCTTTGATTTTACTATCATTTGATGATCTGAAACATTAAAGTGTGCCAAAAAACGACAACCAGAAGGACCTTGTAAAGGAGCAAACATTGCATCACAACTCTATATGCACATATATACAAATGTTTACAGATTTTATTCCCAGAATGAATCAGATCAAACAACAGACACGTCACATATTTACACTGCAGCTGCTTTCTCCTGTTTGTCTCCGCAGAGCGCAGTCTGTGGAAGAAAGGAACAAAGCTCTTGAACAAACATGGGAAAAGATGCAGGAAACCGCGTCGGCGTTGCAGCGCGCACATCGGAGCCACAAACATCACAAGAACGTCAACAAATGAGTTACTGATAGGATGTGAAATATGATATTTTTATTTCTTCAGAGCCACCTACTTTTGTTCTCAGCACTTGTTTGAACTCAGTAGCAGCACAGGAGCCAGCAGCTAGTCTGAGTCAGACACAGTGGATTCATTTCATTTGTAGCTACTGACAGATTAGAATTTGCAAAACGCTGCTCACTTTCATAAAACTTCTTTTTTAAGAATAAAACGGCTGAAAGAAGAAATAAAAAGACTGCATCCTGAAGCTTTGCTCCGTATTTAGTATCAGGGCTGGGCGATGCGGCTTAAAAATAAAAACAGATTTTTTTTTTTCATGCAAGATTCAGTTTCTGATTTTGTTAGATTTTTTTTTTGTGTGGGTTTTATTTTCTACAAAAAGAAATCTCAAAAAGTGGCTTTTATCTCAATCATCCTTTATGTGAGTTGAATGACGGAGTGCCAGGGCCAGGCTACGAGATTGCTTGTCTAATTAAGAGAAGATAGCAGAATAATGCTGGCAGAATAAAGACGCAAAAAAAAGTAACTTAAAAAGAAATAGCTTCAGTGATACATTTTTTGTTGATTTTTGTGGTGGAGTACTCAGAAAATGACAGCTTTGTTATCCTAATATTGCAACTTTGTTCTGATAATATTAAGACTTTTATCTTGTATCGTTTTGACTTTATTGTCATATGACTTTATTTTCTTATTACTAGGACTGTATTCCCATAAATTTAACACTTTATTCTAGTTAAAAAATACATTTTAGCTTGACCTTTATATTTTGTCATAGAGTTGACCTGAACTCAAAGTCCAAATAAATAGAAGCTGACAAAATAAGGTGGCGCCGCCGACATCACTTTGAACTATAGAAACCCAAAGAATGCATTGGTGTGGGGGGGAAAAAAAAATCCAGCCTTCAAAAAGCAAAAATGTGACTAGTTGATCAAATCGAATTATCGCCCAGCCCTGCTTCTCATCACGTTTCTCACAAGATGCTCTCTGGACTGGACTGCTGGAGATCTCTGTCCTCTGCCAGAAAGCTGCTGCTTAGTGAGGGAGGCTCTGCTTTCCTGTGGCTGTCGCCGCAAAGCACCAGCTGTTCCTGGCTGAGGCGCCTCAACTCTCTCCTCAGGGACAGCGAGAGGGCCGGCGACGTGAATGATCCAGTTAAGACGGTGGTGTTCTCCGCGTCGCCGGCGGAGGCGGAGTTGGGGTAGTACCTCCGGAGCCCCTTCCTGAAGTGGATGGTGAACAGGCCGTAGATCAGAGGGTCCAAGCAGGCGTTTACCAGCCCGAAGATGAACAGGATGTGGGTCAGCGAGTGGGACACCTTGTCCTCCAGGTGGTCGGGAAAGAACCAGTACCAGAGGCCCAGCAGGTAGTACGGAGTCCAGCAGACGATGAAAGACGAGACGATCACGACGCTCATTTTTAACGTTCTCATCCGGGCCTTGGGGATGTTGTTTTTGGAGCACCTCAGATGTACTCCGCTGGTGGGCACTGGGGAGAGACGAGACTGGAGGTTTAGAATGAGACAGACAGGTTTACTGTGGTGCAAGATTTGTTGAACAAAAAAAACATGATTGTTTGTTCTATGAGCAGGACATCAGGTTATTTCAGAAGTGGTGCAGTGATGAAATGAGAGCTACTTTGTAGAGGTATACTAAAGTAATTTTGTTCATGCAGCACATTTTCAGCAACAAACCAGTTCAAAGTTGAGGCCTCAAATCTGCAAAGGGAATATATAACTTTTATAAACAATGTTTTATTTATTTTTTACATATTTGTTAAAACTGTTCGTATAATCGCCCAGTCCTGAAACAGATAATCTGCAAAAAAACAAAAAAAAAAAGAAAAGAAAATCGAGCTCCTCTTCCTTCTCCCTGTGCTCCCAGTACCAGCGAGAAACAACCAATCAGAGCCAGGAGGAGGGTCTTAATGTTGTTAATCATGCTCATGTACACCCCTCCTTACTCTCTGCTGCTCTACATGAACAAAACCTTGTGAAATTGTTCATCTTACCCATCAAGTAAGTTAGAGAATAAAAGCAGGTAATTTGCATCCAGTCTGTTTTTTAGGTTAGTGGTTGTTTGGGTTTTGATCATTTCCTTGTTCATTTATGTTCTATAGGTCATATTCAGTTAATTTTTCTGTTCATTATTGTTAGAAAGATGTTGCCATTTTAGTTAATTTCTTTTGTTGCTCTGTTTTTAGTGCAATTAAATAGATTTTCCTAAAGCTGCGTTCGTCATTTCCCCTCGGTTTGTAGCTCCTTTTGAGTCTAAGCAAAGTAATTCTAAGCTTTGCTTCCAGTAATTTCGCTCTCATATATTCCGTAAAATAAACAAGTCTCTGCCACGTTGCACTGCTACTGTTTATGCGAGGAGCGGCCAAATGTGCCTTACAAGTCGTAATTGGGATTAGTCGGAGTTGCTCCCTGACTTCGGAGGGCGTTCCAGTTGATTTTTCCGACTGGGAAGCCTAAGTTCAGCTCCGTTTGTGTTAACCGTCTCCCTCCTTCAGTTTTCATGCTTTACGTTCTTCCTCGGCTGCTCCACATCTCCTCACATGAATTTATCCGTTTCCTTCGTCATGCTAGAGCCGTGTCAGCTCCCTTGCAGAAAGCGTTGCCGGTGCTATCTTTTCTTTTGGGAACATAGCGAGGCGAACCGATTCACTCAAGTTCAGACTTACGGTTGTCCTTTTTCAGCCGTTTGGAGATCTCGTGGAAGATCCTGGCGTAGCAGGTGATCATGATGACCAGCGGCAGCAGGAACAGGCAGGAAAAGGTGAACATGTTGTAGGCCGTCTCGTGCCAACGCGTGGCAAAGCTTCCCCACGTGGTGCACTGGGTGAACTTCTCAGGATGGACGATGGTTACGTTGTGAAACAGGAAGATCTGAGGAGGAAAGTCATTTTAGTCGGTTAAAATGACCGGTCCAGCATTATGTTTTTTTTAAAATTGTTTTCTAATTTCATAATTCACTGGTGTGTTCACATGCTTCGCCTGGGCAAACAGGAGTGAGATCTGTCTCACCAAGGAGCTCAAAGGTCGTGTGGATTGATAGGAACTTCCATAACTGGTGTGTAAAATAGTTGCAGCTCATACTGCGATCTGCTGCCAAGTCCAACATGGATCATTGTCTTCTTACATGATTTTATTTCTCTGTGACAGATTGTTTTCCTACTTCTTCACCTGTCACACACTTAGCTTCACTTTTTGCCTTCTTTTTCAAGGCTAAATGAAAATGTGGCGCAACCCGAGGATTTATGCTAACAGTCACTGCTGTGAAATCTCCACTGGCAGGGTGAATCTGTGTGGGAAAAGTAGCAGGGTGCAACTTTCCTCTCTTTTTCATGGCATAACCCAACAGCAGTCTAACACCCCGTAGCTCCTCACTATGAATCATACCAGCCATAAAGTTGGGAGAGACCGTGGTTTGGTTTATTTACCTCATAAAAACTCAAGAGTGGACATTTTACAGTATCCTGCAGATTTATTCATGCTTTTCATCTTTTTCTTAACATCAGTTGATATATTTTATTGGGATTAAATGTGAGAGGTCTTTTTTTGTCTTTTTTGACAAGCAAACACTGAACAGCTTAGGGTGATTTCAGCTAAAGATTTCCGCTTCTGCGACATCTGCTCAAAGGAAACTGTTCCAAGATCTTGTAGTTTATTCAGATGGAACTTTGTAGGTCCAGCTTGTGCTGACATGTCATTTCAGAAAGAAAAGATTCCCAACTTTCAAAAAGCCAAACATCTTCAGGGTTTTTTTATTTTATTTATTTATTTATTTGGGTAGTCATGAGCTTTGACATTTCACATGGTAACTGGAGCATGATATGCCGTTTCTGTGACTGTGGGGATCTTCTGTTCAGAGTTACATCATTTGACCTCAAGAGTGAACATCATAGGGAATCCAACTTTGCTAAGAATCACAACTTTCATATCTGTTATTTTACTCCAGAATAATCCTTCTCATTCCTGCTCTACTCTCTAAAATTTGTATTTTGAGCTAATCAGCAGTTTTTAGATTTATACTTCCATTCGTTTATTGTAAAACTCTAAAATATATTATGCTCTATTGCTTTAATGCCTTTTCTAGTGCTTTCATTTTCTTGATGCCTAAAATAATCGAACTGAAACTGATTTGTGTTGCCTTAAAAAAGCATGCATACCCTCAAAACACTATTTTTATTTAGATTTTATGCGCCACAACAATACAAAGTTGCGTACAACTTGAGCGTGGTGAAATGGTCACATGTTTTTTGAGCATTTGTCAAATAAAGATCTGAAAGGTGTGGCATGCATTTGTATTCAGCTCGATGGAGCCTGATACCAAACTTCGTGACGGGTTTAAGTCATGCACCGTACCAATACGGCCTTTGCAGAAGAGTGTCGAAAAGAAACAACGTTTCTGGGTGTGCGTGTCTCATTTACAAACAGACCTCACACTTTTCCGATTTCAGTTGTAACCTTTGAAAACTGTTTCCTTTTTGCTGCATGCTACTTTGTGTTGTTCTGTTATATAAAATCTCTGTTGCAGTTCTGTAAAATGGATTGAGGTTTGTGCAAAAAAAGTTTTTAACATTTTTTCAAGGCACTTCCTTTGTCGGTAAGCTGAAATTTATTGGTCTGATGCTGATAACTAAGGCAGATAAAGCGCAGTTAGTGCAGACTTCCATCGATAAATGACCACTGGTTACCTGAACGCATGGGATTTGATTTGGTAGTTAGAAGGTGGTTAAAGATTAGCTCAAAAGGAAATCTTAAAAATCACATGCACATAGGCCTGAAATGATTAATTATTGAAATAATTATCAACTAATTTAGATTAATCATTAACTACAGTATAAAGACTCAAAAAGGAACAACACACTCAAAAGCAGTAATTAAGCCAAAACTGTATAAAACATATGTACATTTGCATTTGTAGTCTGTAAATATTTCTTAACCAGAACTCCTCAAGGAGACTAGTTGTGTTGTTATCTTTTTCATCCATCCATCCATTTTCTGTATACCCTTGTCCCTTAGTGGGGTCGGGAGGGTTGCTGGTGCCTATCTCCAGCTAACGGGGCAACAGGCGGGGTCACCCTGGACAGGTTGCCAGTCTGTCGCAGTGTTATCTTGTTCAAATTCTATAAAATACAAAATCTCCTATTAAGCACATTTTGCTATCCAATTATAAATCATTTAACGTAAAAATGAATCAATAAATCTACAAATTTGTTTATTTGCATCTTTAATGTATTTCTAATATTTTACATAAAAAAGCCTTAAGTGGTTAAAAGAAATATCTGCAGAATGGGACAATATTTTTTTCCATCCGATTAATCAATCAATCATCTGAATAATCGGTTACTAACACAATCGACAGTTCCAGCCCGACATGCACAGTAAAACCAAAACACCTTTTAGACATATTTGGCTTTCTGAGAGTGAAGTAACTAAACGGTACGTCTAAAAATACATGAGCGCTGACATCAGACCTGACCTTTTAGCCATGTTGCCTTCCAAGCAGGACTGACCTTACCTGAGGGATCGAAAACACCACACTCATTCCCCACGCTACCGCCAGCATGATCTTGTTCCTCATCCGGGCCTTGTTGATCGCCAGAGGGTTGAGGATGGCGGCCTGCCTGTCCAGGCTGATCACCACAGTGACGAAAGCGCAGGAGTACATGGCCAGCAGCTTCAGAAACATCAGCAGCCTGCATGCAAAGTCCCCAGCGAGCCACTCGACGGTGATGTTCCACGCCGCGTCCACAGGCATCACCACGAAGGTCACCAGCAGATCGGCCACTGTCAGGTTGATGATCAGCACCCTGACGTGGGATTTCCGCTTCCCGTCCCTGTGCGCCGCCCACAGCACGGCCAGGTTGCAGAAGGCCGACATGCCACACAGGATGAACGTGATGATGACTCTTATTTTGGCCGCTGTGGTGAAGGTGGGGAGCTGCGGGACGTCCTCCGCGACTGTCAGGTTGGAAGCGGCCAAAGAGCAGTTGGAGGTGACGTTGACGTGGAGGTCCGCCACCGGGTCACGCATGGTCACTGCGGACTCACACGGAATGGAGTTCATTTCCTGTACCTTTGGGAGGAGGAAGCATTTCGACCGTTGTCTGCAACGAGAAGGATAAAAAGAGGGATTCAGCACAGGTACCAGTGGAGGAGCAGGAAGCTTGTGCACACAAAGCTACAAACATGCCATGAATAACTACTGAAGAGGAGACACAAGGAGTAAATGACCAAACTGGGACACTTTGGAGGCCATACAATATAAAAATTGATTTTTATATAATATTAAACATTGGTCATTATAATTATTTATCTTAATCAAGAGTTCTAGCTTCTAAATAGAATTATTACTGAAACGATTAATCATGATTAATTATGATTAATCACAATTAATAGCGATTAATCACAATAGCAATTAATCATGATTAATCTGATTACAATTAATTGTGATTAATCACAATTAATCATGATTAATCTGATAAATCACGACTAATAATCATGGCTAATCTGATTAACCATGGTTAATCACAATTAATTGTGATTAATCTTGATTGATCTGATTAATCACGATTAATCATGATTAATCAATTGATCAATTAGTCACAATTAATTAATTCATTGCGATTAATTGATCACAATTAATTAATTGATTAATTGATCACAATTACTAATTGTGATTAACTAATCACAATTAATTAATTTATTGTGATTAATTGATCAATTGATTAATCATGATTAATCTTGATCAATTATCAAGATAATCGTCAACTAATGTAGTCATTGATTAGCCGCAGCCTCTTCACCATGTGACTGTTGTTGCCAACAGCTTAGCAGAGGTTGTCAGGGGAAGTGCTGACACGCCAGTTTGTTGGAACAGATGGGAGTTTATGCTTTAATCACAAACCTGCGCTTACATGAGTGAACAAATTAGATTCGCGTCACACCAATTTTGTTGAGCATGTGAAATTTTAAACACAGATTGGAATGTAACAGATTTATTTCAGTAACTTTACTAAATGAAAAATAAGTAAAATAAATGTCCACACAGAAATGTTTATAAAACTGAGATGTGAAACATGGAGAAAAAACTAATCAGGTAGAAATACTCTAAGAGGTTTTATGTATCTGCTTTATTGAGCTGAGTGCACATGCAGGAAACACTTTCTAGATTTTATTTTTTTATTAAGCATTTTGAGAACCATGTTTCATTTTCCTTCAGCTCCAAAATCATGTCTTACTGTGTGTTGGCAAGTTGAATAAATTTGTTATAGAAAATACTGTGAGCTTATTGGTTCTTAGAGAACAGGTGACATTCAGCATCGAGAAATTGCGTGATGAAATAAATTTTAAAAATGACAAACAAAAAAAACTACAGATATTTCAAAGCTGTGCTAACTCACTTTTGCATCTGATGGTTTTTACACAACTTGGTTGCTTTATTTTGAATTGTAACATTATCCCACTCTGTGTTACTACATGTAGATCTACGTACAAACATAGCACTGCAACCAGCCTCTAATATCTACATGGATGCAGACATACAGTTCAGACTACATGTGTAACATTTAACGTCCTGAAGATATTTTCTTTCCACTTCTGTACTCCCACACCCAATTACCGACCGCTGACTCTCTCCACAGATGGCATTTCATTGCTCATCCACCAGGAAATTCCTAACAGAGAAATGCTTCTGTTGATCATTTTTAGCATTTCTAATCTTAAAGCAAATGAGAAAACAGACAAACAAAAATGTTTACTGCACAGAATGCATTTTTGCAATCTATCCCAAACAGAAACAAAATATCGAAAAGGGGAAATAAAACTTAAGCTTACCGTGGACGGAGGCTGTGAGGAACAGGAATGTTTGGAAATCTGTGAGGAAAGACATGCTAACGCTCCCCTGGAGAACCGCAACGGGTCACTGTGAGCTCCTCTGCAGCTTCTGCTGCACCTTTATCTGAACATCCATCCATCATCAGAGCTGCTTCACCTACAGAGGAGTGGTCTTAACGCCAGCTCCTCACACTAACTCTCTCTCTCTTTCTCTCTTTTTCTCTCTCTCTTGTACTGGTGGATAAATCCTTTTATACCGAATGGGGAGCAACAAATGTAGCTAGCTGGTTTAAAAGGAAGACAATAGAGGTTATTGTCTTAACATGTCATTTTTTTCCCTGTGGGTTTTACTGTTAATCAGTACAGCAGCTTTAAATATATTATTTGCAGCCATTGGGACTGTTAAGTCAATATCACTTCCTCCTAACTTTTCTTTTGAAAAAATCATAGAAAATGTGTTGTCCCCCTTCTCCAGAGATTATATATGACATATTTAAGTCATGGCTGACTTCCAAAACTGATTTTGCTTTTATATATTCCACCTTAAAAGTTTTTTCCCCTCAAACGTAAATACAGGTTTTTATGATGTACTTCTTTCAGAAATACGTTTTTCATCCCTCTGGAAATTTAAGTGAGGCGACTTCATTTTCAAAAACATCGCACCAACATGAATATTTTGTCAGTTTTATTTTTTTATTTTTGTTTTTGCTCCCAATCTGTGGCAGGAAATACATTTCTATTCAACCAAGTGTTCAATGATATCTCAATGAACATGTCTGAGCAAAGCTTAATTACTGGGGTCTGTTTCCATGGTGATATCCTCGTTTAGTTCAAGGAGATGTGACAGAGATTAATTAAATCCACGTTCCTTTTTATCCCAAACACATTCCTTATCTTCACTCTGTTCACTCTGAGGAACGCCAGACCTCCGAGGGCCACAGTGGAGTCTGTTAGCACTTTATTTAGAGGATGATGTCACTCAGGGTTGTGCTCTTTTTGTTTTTCTAATGCCACACATTTTCATCCCTTTATGCTTTGGTTTGATCAATCAACAAAAACAACCAATGTCACGTTCAAAGGTTTTTGCATTTTTTTTCTGTTTCTGTAAGTACAACTCTTCTTCACCTGACATAAATTGGACTCTAGCAGGCAGACATGAACATTTCTCATCTTTGCATCTGCAAATTGAACCCAAAAGTGAACCAAGTCCATAATTATTTTCCTGATATCTTAGCTGATTTTTTTTTCTTATTATGTTTTCTTATATCCTGTAAAATTGCATCCCGTCGTTTCTATTTAAGAGGTTGATTAATTTTAGATAAATCATGGATAAAACTTTCTCAACATTTTACACCAACTCGTTTTATTTTTGTACTTTTATTTTCATCATTCACATTAAAACACATTTAAAATAAATACACTTGTAAACCTGC